CCCCCCCCCCCCCCCCCCCGCACATATTAATACTTGTTCGGGCACCGGATTATTCATTATCACAGGCCGGGGGCATGTCGTTTCTTATTAGGGGGAATGGACTAACATGGATTCGTATATGCCCCTATTCACTACTACTAACCCTCAGTGTGCTAAGACATGTCCGGCGTTTTGTGTTGTAGGTAGGGTTTCGGTCGTACAGCCTCATGTTTAGAGTTCAGTTGCCGGAATGGAGAATCAAGAGCATGGGAAATGACACTGAAACTGGGGCTATATTAATCATATACTCACCCAATACTATAATCTCGCCTAATAATTACAATTACCCAATGCCCAAGTACTAAAGTACCTAATTATTGGGTACATGGAACCTTTGGAGAGGGATAATGTAGGCATTTAACCCTAAGCCCTACAGGTTGGACTCCAAGGGGAAGCCAGGGGGTTCTTAGAGACTCTGTTCTATCTGGTTCTATCTGGGAGTCTTGGGAAATTTATTTTATTCATTCCACGAGATTGAAGGGGTAAAAGTTCTGTTGCGCAACCTCCAGACTTGGGGATTTAGGATTTTGTGATTTGGGTTATCTTCGTTTTTTTTGACCTGGGGTCGCGATGCAAGCGTTTGGGTCTACGTTTCCTACAGTCTAAGATTTGTCGGCCAAAGCTTACAAGGCTCAGATCTAAGGACCTTGGAGTTTTGGGTTTGAGGCCCGAGGGTTGCGGGATATGAGACTTCAGGTATGGTGTTCCGCAGTTGAGGATTTACACTCTAGAGCTTTGGGATTCACTGCTGGAGGTTTTGGGGGATGTAGCAGTCAGGACTTGCTGTTCTGGGCATGTACAGTAAGGCTTTGCGGTTGGAGGGTTAAAGCACTTTAGGTCTAGGGGGGCCTTTCATGGGGACTCCATAGACAGGAAAGCATGATTTTCAAGGGCCTTTGGAGGTTTCTAGGAATAGTATGCCTTACCCTTAGGGTCCAAGTACCTAATACTTACCCCAAACCAATACTACAATCACTACTACCCCAATACCCAAGTATCTAATTATTGGGTACATGGACCCTTTGCCTTAGGCGTTAGAGTAGCTCCATGCTAAATAACTCGGTCCCACATGGGCGCCCATGTATATTGTGGGCCCAAACTATCTTTTACTCACGGGGTGGCTTATGGTTTAGGGTGTAGGTACGTGCACTCCTGCAGATGCATGATAATTTGAAAGGGTTCAAAGGATGTTTAGCATGGTCGTGTGCAAGAAGATTCTCCAGACACGGTGCATATTGACTCCAATGATCCGAAAGCTCAGCCATACAATCGGCCGATGCGAGCTGATGTGAGATATAGTCTAAACACCCAGTATATAACACCCTGCATGGAATGTAGACTATAGCTCATGCCTCAATAACCCCGGTAGTAGTCCCCTATATAATACCCTTTATAGCCCGCATTAAGAAATTTAGACCCTAAACCCCAATCCCTGAGGCCTAAATAACCCCTTATATAACACCCTTCAAGGACTAATTGGACTATAGCTCAGGTGGGTTTGCTCAAGCTTCCAAAAGGAGACTTTGATCTCCCTCTGAATATGGAGTTTAGGGTTTTGGGTCTAGAGGTCCCTTTGAAGGGGATATAGGGAATATATGGGGGGGTTATACAGGTTTAGAGTTTCCCAAATTTCAGGGAAACTTTTTGGGGACTCCTACAAGAAGGATTGTAATATGTTGGGGTCTATATTGGGATCCCCATGTTTATGGTAACTATCACATGGCAACTACATAATGACCGTGAGTTGCGTTGTGGAGAGGTTGCTGGCTGCGGGGCAGCTGGACCATCAGCAGGGTTCCTAGATTCAGTATGAGAAAGCCACTCGCTGAGTTCACAACACAGAGGGGCGCGACGGCAACCCCAACTGCTACGCCCCAAGCGTTCCAAAACTCTGAATTGAAGCCCTAAATGCGTGACGTTTCTCAGCGCCCGGGGCGCCTGTGCCAGGGTCTGCGCTTCCGGGACATCTTTCTTCTCAGTTGTATCCTGCACTCAAGGCCTTTGGGACTTCAACACAAACATGGTAAACAGGACCGTGCGGAGAAATCCTTATTCAGGCGGGCGGCTTGAGTTATGGTACCAACAGTCCATGGGGTGCGCGCCCTCCCCCTGCGAAACCCCGTTCTCTGATGCATAGCGTACTCTCGCCTAACGGAAAGATTCAATGTGAGAGTTCATATGCAGCTTCGCTGCCATCAACTTATGCTGGGTCAAGCGCGAGCATGTGGTCCGGTTCAACCCCTGACAATTACAATGATTTATACGATGGCTGCAACTCCCTTTTTACTGATGTGAACGTGTCTAGGATAAACCCGTCGATGCTACTAGTAGGGATGGAACAAGGCAGGCTGGCAGCCGACTCCAAATCTTTTCTGGTCAAATGGCGGCGAGCCTGAAAACTAGACCCTACCTGGCTTTCACCCAGTTGTCCTCTGCAGCTCCAGCATCTGTAACCCTCCCCAGAATAGATACCGGCGAAACAGTTCGGTTTTGGCAAGATGCTTTATGTTCACCTGCGAACATTATCTCCAATTGTGATTGGACCTTCATTAGGGCCATGTGAAGGCCTGCAGTCCAACAAAATCTGTGAGTCAGGGAGGGGGTGTGGGGAAGATGAAGAACAGTCCCATTGTGGAAGACTGAGCTTGCATGCAAGACTCTTCGTAGAAACGTGTGCCTGGCTCTGTAGTCATGATTTCAGATCGGTCTCCGTCAGCCTTGTCATATCCGGAAAGTGCCTTGCCAATTTTGATTGGTCCCACTTTTGCGTGGACTCACGACTGTCAACATCCACAGTATCAGGTGAAGTGAAACTCTTTGAAAGCTCTTGCGCGAGAAGCGGGCATGTCATGACAACAACAATTACACATGCTGCCCAAGCTGAATGCTGAAGACTCGCACCCCTCCATCCTTCCGCCGCGCAACCAGGTACAGCAAATTGAGCAGGTACGTAGACATGCTACCCGGACCCTGTGTTCTCGATTCAAAATCAGCTTCATGGAAGCAGAAGTATCGCCTTGATCTGAATGAGCCAGAGGGAACACAAGCTCCATCCCGCAGACCACCCTCAAATCCCACAGTGGCAATTTCTCGACCAACAACCTCCGCATCTTACCAGCAGCTTAAAACCCCGGAAGCCATAAAGCTCCAAACCCTAACACCCTAAAAACCTAAGCCATGAAGCGCGTGGCTACAAAACTCCAGTTGCTCTGTACCAAGACCGTACATGTAGAACCCTTAGTCCTTGGTTCTCAACAAATAAAACCCTAAATGAAAAAGACTAATTCTAAGGCGCCGCGCCCATCCCATGCTAGACCTTAACTATAAATCACAAACCTCAATAGCCCCGAACCATTTAAGCTCTACTTCCAAACTGAGCTATCCAAAGCTTGCAACCGTAAGTCTGAAATCTCAAGCCCCAAGCCCCAACCACTCCGTGCCCAGGGCCTCCTGTCTTTGTGGCAGCTGGGGAAGCCCGCCACGAATAGCGGAAGTTTTCTGAGACTTTGGGGGTCCTTCCACATCCAAGAAGCCAGGGGTGGGCTTGGAGCTTTGGATAAGATGTCCATATTCTCATATTTTCTCATACTTACGACTTGCAGCTACTAAGCTGTCGTGTTTACTGCTTGTCTCGTAAGGTGAATTGTCGTGAAATACATGACAACTTTCCGAATAAAAACATAGCCGACATAGCGCTCGCCGAGGACCTGGGCCTCATGCCGTACGTTGAATCTCCATGGGCCCTCATCTCGTTCGCCTTGTGGTTGATCGCTTGATCTCGGAGCTAACATTGCCAAAGCCACGCATGATCACGCTCACCATGTTGGAATATGTACTGAGCTATGTCTGCAAAGGAAAGCAATGCTGTGCCTATCTATTTGAAATCTAGCCCCTACTGTACCTAGTCCCCGGCAGAACGCCAGACCGAGAAGCTGAAACTACTGTTAGGCAAATATGCGAAAGTAAATGCCGCTGCTCTTATGGCTTTGGACGAGCAAAAACATCAACAGCAGTTACTTTAACTGCTCAGGAGTTAGGAGCTGGGCAACTACTGCTATCAAAGATGCCCAAGAAGTCATAAAAAAAAAAATCAACATTGAACAGCTGTTAGGAACAATGTTACAGAGAAACGACAGTTGCATGGTGGCAAGTTTTTGTAGAACCCCACGCACAGGTTGAATATACGTTTGGCTTACGTCTTCACACGAAACATGATTTAGACTCCAGACAGCCAACAAACAGAATAGGATCAATGTTCATAGACCAAACTAATCAAATGCCACTGCTATGCGTTATTGTTACGCTTTCAAACCCGCCAGATTTGTTGGAATGCTGCAAGAACTACGCAGAACAGCATCTCTCAAGTGATGGGGCGGGCAGTTCATTCTGTAGGCCTACTACCGTATGGAGTATTTGCAGGTGGGAGAATTGAGCTATAGCAGCCAAAAGGGCGTTCGGCGTTAGCGGAGAGATTTGCAAACATAATTCAAAGTGAATAGATGGCCTGGGACTTTTTGGCATCAGGTACTTGAAGGGCACTGCCCCTACACAGCCCTCCCACCCTTCAACCATCCTGAGTTACTCTCCAAGGTAACTCTAATCCACAATCCCAAACCTAAGCCAAACATCCTAAACCCTACTGTAAATCCAAATATCCCAAACCCTAATATCCTACCTAAGCCATCAAACCTCAACTCCTGACCTTGAAGGGGTCTGAGTCTATAGCTGGTCATTACTTTGAACCCTAAAGTCTATAAATAGTACCTGCATCGGGCGATTAGGAGCTGTAGAAAAATATCCAAACAAGCCCCAGACTCCAATCCGAAGTGGTAGCTTCCGCAAAAAAAGCCAACTGAGTCCCTCAAATACGAAATAATTTATGGGGACTCCCAAAAAGGCACCCCTAGCTTTGGGAACTCCTCCAAATATCCAACCCCAAACCCTTAAACCCTAAGCCCTAAACCCTAAAATCTACGTGAAGGGAACAAATCGCTTCCCAAGCCGTCCCTCGTCATCTTCATCCGATGACTCGTCGAACGAAAGCTTTGGCCGCGCCCGCTTCATCCGGCCGAGGGCAATGCCGCAGGGTTGAGGGTTTAGGCTTTACTTGGGGCTTAGGGTTTAGGGTCTAGGGTTTGGGCTTTACCAGTTTGAGGCTTTACTCGGGGCTTAGGGTTTAGGGTGTAGAGTCTGGGGTTTGGGCTTTACCAGCTTGAGGTTATGGGGCTGAAGGTTTGGGATCAGTTTGCAATCTAGGGTTTAAAGATTCAGGGTTCAGGGCTGGAAGCTTCGATCTTATTATTGCATGGTTTTGGATGCCATGTATTTTGGAAGGGTTGGTCTGGGAGTTTCTGAGAATGATAGGCTGGGAGCTCCTTATATAAGCTATCCACTCAGCCTTGCAATCCGAAGGTTGTTCTGTGGACCTCTGATGGAAGAGTAGTTCCAGTGCATAATCTGCACTAGAGCTGGAAAAGGCAAGTAGCCAAGAGGCTGCAATGGAAGTACTGCGTGGTATGCTATACGCAAAGAAGAACGATTATGATAGGAAAATGGTATCACAAGCTGGCCGGAGGGGTGTTGAGGCAAAGCTAAACTGTCACGTTTGGCTCATGGCTGCAGGGATCAGGCGGCGCAGGGCGAGCAAGAGAATGCAGCATGGACTGTGCATTGGAATAAGACCCCATATTGCCCTTCTATCTGATAGAATCTATCAGCCCTTTGTGGACTCTTGAAGGGAAGAGCTTGCTTCCAACAATGAGGGGCTCTTGACAGGATCTCTTTCTGAGGGGCTGGTGAGTGAAAGACTGAAACGGGGCTTTGTTCTGAACGTCACCTCACATGCCCTACTCGCCGAGGACCACCGCTTTCTTTTAGGGCCTTTGACCTTTACCCCTTTACGCATTCAAGGGCTGCATATTGCTGAACTGTATTCTCCGAAACATCTGCCAAGATGACTATATGGGGACGGGACAGCCCCCTGAGCTTAACATTAGGCTTTGGAAAACTTACGAAAGGCACACAACACCTGCAAACCTCACACGCCTCCAAGCCCTTGAAATTCAATGAGAAACTCCAGGTCCAAAACAGGAGGTTGTGGAATTGAATACTCTCAGGGAAAACGTGCTCCGCAACCGATAGTTCCAAAGGGGGCATGTAGCCAGCATAGTCTATAGACTTGGGGCCCAAAGTAATTGTATGGGAACGTCTTTGGGCCCAAGTATAGACTAAGATACCTGCATGAAACGTTGGGGCTTGCGAGCAGAAGGCTTCACGCTGTATTGAAAGAAACCTATTGGGGCAAACCGTTTATACCCGGAGCCCTTTACCCCAATCTGATTGCCATGGTCTGTGCACACGGCTGCTTTGCAACTCTCCGAAGATTTCAGACTCTTTCGCAACGGGACCTCGGCAGCTTCAGCGGTGAAGTAACCGTTCCCGCCTACTAAACCTCCAAATACCCGTAATGTAAATTCTAATTTTGAGGAGATAAAAGGTACTACTATTACTTCCACTTTGCATGTTCAGTCCCAGCACCAAATCCTACTTCCTACTCGCCCAGTGGGCCCAAGTTCCTACATGTAATGTCTGGCCTATGCTAACGCATGGGCAGAGGATGTCCTCCTCTAATGTTGCACACGCGTCTTGGACATATTGCTTCAAGCCCGTGTCGCAGGCTCTCGTTATGTTGCCTTGTGCTGCATCATGAGCTCGTAGAAGGGGTTGTCACACGGAATTGAGGGGCTTGCCCCAGAGCCTCTGTGACACCCAGTATCTGACATGTATTACTACAAAGGCCCTTTGGGTCATGGATTTCGCTGCTTGTGCGTTCAAGGTCATGCATCGACACATCTCCAAACACAGGCCATACACAATTATAGTAGCATTTGGAAAGTCCCAAGAAAATCCTGAACAAATGCAGAGAACCAGGACAACCCAAAAGTGACCTACCTGCATTGTAAAGATACACACATGTCTTAAGGGTT